TTCATGTAGGTCTATTACAGACTCTTATGATATGTCAAATCTACCGTCATTAGAGATGAGAAGAACTGACAAGAAATTCAGCTCGTGTTCTTTACAAATAAATGTTGTACATGTTTACAAAATTAAATAATAATAATAATAATAATCTTTATTAAATTCAGAAGGATCGTTACAATATTATTTATACAATAGGTACACATTCCAGACAATATCAATCCTTTCAGTATTTATGTGTAGTCCTGGCTTCTGAACTAGCATTAGCCGTATGACAGAAGCCAGTTCCTTCCCAATACATGTACTTTTATTATAGAAGGATGAAAATTATTATAACATGATATATATAAACAATATTTTATCAATAGATACATATTTAAAAATCTAAATTATAAGAAAAACAAAGATATTGAAATAAACATAACATTCTGAAAAATAAAATGTAATATTAATAAAATATCTGTTAAATATCACACTTTGAATATTGACTCATTATAGCTGTTTGGGTTTGTTCCGTTGCTTTTAAAAAGGTGAACTAACTTTGGCGCCAAAATGTAAAAAACATAATATTATAGAGATCAGAAGGGAACTGTAGAGAAAATATATATATTGTCATATTTATTACATAAATACATTATAACAGTTTTCCAAGTGATGTAATGATTGGAAGTACAGTACAAATTTATTTAAGGATAGAAATTAAAGATATATGTTTAGTGATTACAGTTTTCATTGTTTGTATAGAAGATTCCCTATTAAACAATATCTGTTATATTGCATGATAGTGTGATGAGTGTGAGTAAAGATTGAAAGATGTGTGCAAAATGAATGGGTGAGTGTATCTTTTGAATGAGATCGTGAATCGAATTAAATATAGAATGACTCGCTGTCAGTAGTAATATCATAGATAACATGTTATTATTTAACTATTCTCGCATTTTCTCAGCTGTTGCTGATTTTTTAACACACTTACTGGCCAAAACCAAGTAGGTGCAGTGTATGTGTGCATGGGTGAATGCGTGGGTGTGCGTATGTGTATGAGTGTGTGTGTGCATATGTATATATATAATTAAAATGTACCGTTGTCGAATGTGTAAATGTAATAATGGTTATCAATAAATGTTTTTCTTTCTTTCTTTCTGTCTTTCTTTCTTTCTTTCTTTCATTCATTCTTCATTCTTTCTTTCATTCATTCATTCATTCTTTCTTTCATTCTTTCTTTCCTTCTTTCTTTCTTTCTTTCTTTCTTTCTTTCTTTCTTTCTGCACCCGCCTGCGCTAACGGTTTACGCTGGCGAGGCACTAGTGCAGGAAATTCACCAGTAATTTATCACGATGGTTTCCAGGGGGAACCGCGTGGAGGTTAACCTAATATGATACATTGCAATACCCTTTCCCCCTATGTATACTTATTGTGTGATTGGTGTTATGTCCTTATCATCAAGTTCCAGATGATTATTATTATTAAGATTTTAGGTTGATTTTACTTAAATATAAAATATCGGGAGTTTAAAATTATCTATTGCATTCTCTCATTCATATAGTAATATATGAATGAGATATATAATAGATATATATATATATAATTAAGTAATGAATATTATAATCTTAGATACATGCAGATTTAAAGAAGATTTCAATGTCAAATTATATATGTCTTATATAATATAGTAATGTCACTGTGAAATGAATATTTAATATATTAATTATTAATATATGTATATTTTATACATTAACCTCGCTGCTACCTGCGACTTTGTTTAGTTTTTAGAGATAAATATTATTTCGTCCTTTTAGTTAAGAAATAGACTATGTTGGTATTCATGATACAATCTATATTTATTAAATTTCTTTCAAGGGTTTTTCAGATAAATAGTGAAAAGTTAACAAGCGTTCAGACAGACAGACAAACTTTGATGTTATAATATTAGTATGGTTTAAGTTATATTAATATGTAAGTAAGTAAGTCATTTATTTGCATTACAGACATATAAACGATCAAGCCACAGTGATAATATACCTATGTGAAGGCATAAAAATCTTTAGAATTTAATATTTATGCGGTTTAAATTGTATATTATTACTAGCTGCCCCGGCAAACGTTGTTTTGCCTTAAAATAAAAAAAAAATTAGGGGTGGACTACCCCTAACATTTAAGGGGATGAAAAATAGATGTTGGCCAATTCTCAGACCTACTCAATACGCTCACAAAATTTCATGAAAATCGGTCCAACCGTTTCGGAGCAGTATGGGAACGAAAACTATGACACGAGAATTTTATATATAAGATTAAAAATATTTAATAATTACAATCAATGTCAGGCATAGCCACGGAATTGAACTAGTTGAACAGATCGTAATACCGGTTGTGAAGTTGTATGAAAACCTGTAAATGTAACTAATTATAAAGGAATTTAAAGGTTCCGTAGGTTTAACTTTTGTTTTAAATAAGGGACAATCCCTAAATTATGTCACAGTATAATAAGAAGTGTGTGACAAAGGTTGGGAATGGGGCCGACAAAGTGTGACATTGTGTGACAAGGGTTAGGAAGGGGGTCGACAAAGTGTGACATTGTGCGACAAGGGTTAGGAATGGGGTTGACAAAGTGTGACATTGTGTGACAAGGATTAGGAATGGGGTCAACAAAGTGTCACATTATGTGACAAGGATTAGGAAGGGGGTCGATAAAGTGTGACATTGTGTGACAAGGGTTAGGAAGGGCGGTCGACAAAGTGTGCCATTGTGTGACAAGGGACAATTGGGAAGGGGGTCCACAAAGTGACATTGTGTGAAAGAGATTAGGAAGGGGGTCGACAAAGTGTGACATTGTGTGAGAAGGGTTGGGAAGGGGGTCAACAAAGTGTGACATTGTGTGACAAGGTTTGGGAAGGGCGTCGACAAAGTGTGACATTGTGTGAGACGGTTTGGGAATGGGGATCGACAAAGTGTGACATTGTGTGACAAGGGATGGGCCTTTCCCATGTCTTGTCAGGACACTTGATACGGCAAGATAAGCACTGAATCACTGGCAGGAAATGCCAGGATTGGTATATTCAAAAGCGCTAATATCAGGCTACTCGAACAAATACTCCAATAGACTACTGCTATTGAGTAAAAACAACACATACATGATGACTAGGGCCCTCACAGGACACTGCAAATTAAACAAGCATATGCCAAAACTAGGCCTATGCACGACAAAAATCTGCACATTTTTCCAAACTGAAGAGGAAACGCCACTACACATCCTATCTGATTGTAGCCCACTCATTCATAAACGAAATATCTCCTTTGGAAAGTATACACTCTTTCCCGAGGAGATAAAAACCATCGCTCCTAAGAATATCCTTCAATTCTTGTCCCTGACGGGTCTAGGTAGCAAACTCTGAAAAAGGGCGAGCACAATAGATCTATGTAGGTCGTACTACATGTGCTGCAGGCACCTGATAATAGCCCAAACAAAAACAATAAAAATTGATGGAAAATAGAGGAAAAGAGGGAGAGGGAAGACCAAGGCACAGCTACATCAAGCAAATTAAAGACAAAATTGGAGTCATGTCGTATCAATTTAAAGAGCTTGATGGAAGATCGTGGATAGTGGCAAGAGCTGCACCGACAAGAGCGTGGTTCATCAATGAATGAAAAAAAAAACAATGCAAAAATAACTTTCTCTTAAATATGTCAACACTTTAACTAAGGTAGTACATATAACATTAAGTTATAACTAGTTTATATTTTACTGTAACTAATTATATCATTTACATAACTTAATTGTACAACTAAGAACCTAAAATTAAAAAGCTTAAAAAAATATAATACAATAACTAAAATATATTATTAAAAGGGGTCCCTTTAGGCAACGTTCCGTTGATACTGGCAGCGTTCCCTCTTTGAATGGCTAGACTAATTCTTTGTCCGAGGTAGCTGCCAGCTCTTCGGTCTTCTGTGATGTCGACTTACCTTTTCGATATTTCTTTGAAAGTTTGGTTTTAGTTTTAGTTAATTTACCTCCTTATAATCTACTCTTACTGATATTATAAAAGCGAAAGTTCGTAGATGGATGTTTGTTACTCTCACGCAAGAACTACTGAACGGATTTTGATGAAACTTTACAGTAATATAGCTTATACATCAGAATAATATATAGGCTATAAATTTCACGCGAGAAATCACGATGGGGAGGGGATAATGTGGATTAATAACCCCATCGCTAGCAATAATGTACCTTATCAGGTTGACCTCCACAAAGTTTCCCCTGGAAACCATCATATTAAATTCCTTGTGAAGTTACCATGATGGGTTAACTGACGTCATTCAAAACCTTTTTTACGTAATTACATAACGGCCTACCTGACGGTAAGTGGTAACCACCGCCTATATAATCTGAAGCCCGTGATACGGCACTCTCACAAGCTATAAAAAAAACAACTAGTCATCTAACAAAATTACCACAGATTCTAAATATAGTCTATGTATGTAATTACTAATGTTGGCTGACTTGTACAGCATAGTCTGCATGAGTAAATTTTGTATACAAGCAACAAACAAGCATACGGCCTATCTGATGGTAAACGGTTACCGCAGCTTATGGACACCTGAAATACCTCTAACTTACATAGTGCAGCTGTAAAAAATGCAACACAAATAGGGGTGAGATTTGATAGAGCAATTACAGGAGTCATTCTATGACTCTTTAATGAAATCAGTTGAAAATATCTTTAATCTCAATATCTTTTATATCTTTAATTGACTTTGCTCAATAAATATGATTTAACAGATGTAATAAACTAACAGAATAAATTAATAAACTTACGTTAAATCTCGTTCATCAACAGAACCCTAAATTTAACGTAACGTGTAATAAAGAAACCAAGTAACAAAGGCGTACTAGTCAGTGATCATACAGACTTCTTTGTGTAAACAATATTACATAGTCACAGAAAAAAAATATAATTGTAACCATAGTCTAATTTTAATTTATTAATAAAATAATACTGGCCGTTGATATCACCAATATTATATAGCTACAGATAAAAAATAATAAGTGTAATCATAGACTAATTTTAATTTATTAATAAAATAATACTGGCCGTAATATAATATTGTAGTCACAGATAAAAAATATAATTGTGAGCATAGACTTTTAATTAATAAAATAATACTGGCCGTTGGTATCACAGATTAATAGGTGCTGGTAGAAAAAAATGTGCAATGTGAATACAGATAATAAAACGGACCGTTTCGGCGGGAGATTTCCGTGTAGACTATTTTTGAGGACCGTCTTTCATTGTTTTATGTGCGTTTTAAGTGCTGTGGTTGTGACGTGGGGATGCTGGAGAACTTTCACGATCACTGAAGAGCAAACAAAGAATCTGGATATTGCCAGTTTAAAAAATTACGTCCTATTTTTTTTTACTAATTGGAATTATGTAAGTATTTTAAATTATTTAAAATAAAATTTTTGACGGCCTCTATGGTGTCGTGGTTTGGCACATCCCTTACTTCCGATGGTTGCGGGTTCGATTCCTTGCATGGCGCAAACATTTGTATTAATGAGTATATTATGACAATTTTATAACACTTAAGTTTATAAAAAAAAATGAGAATAACCAGTTTCCCGTCCGTTGAATGTAAGTATAATTGCGCGTAAACAACGTATGACCTTCATGTTGTCTTGGTTCTGTGAATTAATCTTAAATATCAATAAACATGCTAAATTCATACTAATAATATAATCTCGAAGTGTGTCCGTCTGTCTGTTCAATAACCTTTGTAACTATGTGTCCACGACTTCGTTCGCAACGAATAGAGGACGAATGAGGAATTTCCATTTCATCCCCTATTTTAGTTTACGAATTTTACCCTAAGGGGGTTAGGGTAAAATTCGTACAAACTTTGAATGTCATATTCATAGTCAAAAGCTTTTGAAATAAGTTTCAAGCTTCTAGCATTAAAAATGACTGAATACTTCCATAGAACGTTTCATCTCCCCTTACAACCCCTTACAACCCTTTCTCATGGTCTAGACTATCTGTATACCAAATTTTATTTAAATCGGTGCAGTAGTTTTGGTGTGAAAGCGAGACAGACAGACAGACAGAGTTATTTTTGCATTTTTAATATTGGTAAGGATAATAATCTCAGGACAATTCACACATATTACGTACTTAACACACTCAGACCAATATTTAGCATGTAGGAAACAATATATATATATTCGTATCAGTTGTCTAGTACCCATAACACAAGCTTTAGCTAGCTTGACTTGGGTCTAGATGGCGCTGTGTGAATTATCCTGAAATTCGACGAAGACGTATTATAATTGATTTATAACTTCATTACTTGCTTGTAAATGGCGCTGAAGTAGCAAAATGTTGATTTTTTTTTGTCTTATATAAAAAAATTTGCTACGCACCCCGGCTTCGCACGGGTGTACATGTATTATATATATAAACCTTCCTCTTGAATCAGTCTATCTATTAAAAGAACCGCTTCAAAATCCGTTGCGTAGTTTTAAAGATGTAAGCATACATAGGGACGGACAGACAGCGACCGCGACTTTGTTTTATACTATATAATGATGATATTTGATTTTTTTTTAATAAAAAGTATCCTATGCTTATTTTAATACCTCTGTGGGGTCGGTAATAATTGTTACGTAAATAAAATAGACCCTCAACAAATAATTAATATACTGACCTCCAAGAACATGTGTAAAAAATTTCATGACGATCGGTTCAGTAGTTTTTGTGTGAAAGAATAATATGCTTCCCTACTTTATATAGATACATGAATGTGGATGTAATATTATATTATCTGTGGTGGATGGTTATAAAGACTGAGGGAGGCTAAAAAAGAGATGGATGGACTGTGTCAAAGATGATATGGTAAAAAATGGAGTAAATAACTAGATGACTGCGAACAGGGATGAATGGAAGAGAAAAACATATTACGTCGAAGTAATTAATTGGATAAGGAAGAAGCTGATGATGATAATTCTTATATATATATATATTACATATGTTATCTTATATATAAAATTCTCGTGTCACAGTTTTCGTTCCCATACTCCTCCGAAACGGCTTGAGTAGCATATTGAGTAGGTCTGAGAATCGGCCAACATCTATTTTTCATCCCCCTAAATGTTAGGGGTAGTCCACCCCTAAATTTTTTTTTATTTTAAGATAAAACAACGTTCGCCGGGACAGCTAGTAATTTATAATATTAGTAAGAATTATAACCTTATTCTAAGGATAAGGTTATAATTCTAAGACCTTCGTAACACGGCACTGAAGCCTCGTGTCGAGCCGACACGTGTCTCTAATTAAATATAAATTGATATGTACATGCAAAAAAGGTTCGTAACAATGAGTTAGTGATTATACATTCAAATTTATAGGTTGTTATTGTTGTTTAGCCGTACAAGTATATCTTGTGTTTGAATTATGAAGTTTTCATGATCATAACTTAGATCATGCAATGTATAGATACGACAGATACAATCAGACAAAAGACAGAAGCGTGTAGTCTCAATATTTTTATTGGCAGGTAGCTGTTGTAATAAGGAGTAACTTAGACTACTTTTATTTTAAAAAAATGAAGTTAGTAAATTTAGACACAAGATATAAATGCAAGGCAGGGTAAATATTTTATTTATTATGAAATAACTATCAGATGGCAATTGTGAGTAGCTTTGACGTGGTCTAGTGTTTTGAGTAGTCATGCTCACTAAAATGTCCAGACTTGTGGCGGCGTGGTGGGCCGGGTCATTGGGCTCCCTAAAATATGGTCGAGCGCAGTGATAGCTGGCTCATCCGTCATACTCGTGAACGGGTGCTGCTTGTAGGGACTGGTCTGCTCTAATCACTATGACTGATTTCCTCTTATTAATTGTTTAACCAGTTGTTAAGTATTCAATATTTTTTCTATTTGAATGTATTTAATTAAATTAGTGCTAATTGATGGTTTGTATTCACACACTTAAACTTAAAAATGTAAAGTAATAATAAAATTATTTAAAAGAGCAACACGCAAGTTTCTTGCTCGTTCTTCTTGTGATGAGACAGCTTTCCGAACGAGCGGTAGATTAAAAAAAATGTAATGACTATTCAAAAGTGCTTCAATGTAAGTTTATTTGAATAAATGATTTTCTATTCTATTCTATTCGTATTAATTTCCTCTGGAGAGTGAAAAGAACAGATGTGTCCAAGCTGCTCCCCCATGCTGTGGTCTTGGCGGGGCCCCGTATAAAAATGTATATGGGGGCCCTTACGGAGAGTAACGATTTCAAATAATAATAATAATAATAATAATATATTTATTTGTCAGAATATGGTATGTACAATGGTGGTAAGTATATATAATATATGTTTCATCATATTCTGCTGTTTCCAGCGTACAAATATTAAATCAATCAAGTCATTATAAATTCTAAATATTACTCATTCACAACAACTTAAAAAGAATAAAATTGCATTAAATTAAAAGAAATATTTATTCTTCGTAATTATTTATTTATTTATATAACTTCAATGCACAAAATACCAAGGTAAAAGTACATATGGCGGACTTAACGCCTTACGGCATTTTCTACCAGTCAACCACAGGTTGTGCAGAGAAACTGTAGGCGGTGCAATGTGCAATACATATACAAATACATACAATATATATAAAGCTATAGATAAATATGAATAAAATACATACCTAAATATACCATATACACATCATATAACTTATACATACATATAACATACTTAATAGCCTGACAATGAAATAGCAACAGCAGATAGAACATAACAAAGAAAAAAAAAAACAAATTCAGCAACTATAACATAGAAAAGATGTAAAAATAACAATGAGTCACGCAAAAAGATAAAATGGAAAACTATTCTACATAATAGAAAAGTTATATGCTGGAATAGTATTCCCGCAATTTACGCTTTAAAGAAAATTTACTCGTGGCGGTCTTGATATCAAGGGGTAAGTCGTTCCAAAGTTTGATAGCCTGAACGGCGAAAGAATAGTGGATGAAACCGGACAAATGAGCCGGTATAAGAAGTAAACATTTTCTGGTCGTGCGAATAGAGCGAATGGTGTTGTCCCCATGGAAATGAAATTGATTGCTAATGTAATCAGGAGAATTAGAATCATATAGAAAAGAATAGAGAGTACATAGCATACGAACATTTCTACGATAACGGATAGGTAGCCATTTAAGCTGTGAATTATATGACTGTCAGTTTTTTTAATTTTTACAAACAATTCAAATTAAATATACACTCTCCTTGCCTATTTTTTGGGAAAATTGATTTATTAAATATATACTCGATGCGAGATAAAAATGCTTTTAATGACTTTTGGCATTTGTGAAATTAAAAAAAAATGGGAAGTTATTTTTTGTAATATAACAGTATATATGAATTTCCCTTGAAGGGTTAAAAAAAACTTATCTTATTTAAACAGCGCTCGAGGCTGAAGGCAACCGTTTATGTCGAGAGTGAATACAGATTGACTTGGTATCTAGGTTTATCCAACTTTCAAGCGAACCAGACGCTGACCCAGCAAGGTGTGGTCGCCAGGGCAGCATTATAGACTACAGAATCAGAGTATAACAGTACGCATGATAGGGGCCCCTGTGGCCCGGGACCCCGTGTCATTGATACGGCAGATATGGCGGTAGCTACACCTCTGATAAAAGGACATAGTGGTAACGTAAGCATCACATGGTAACGATCCCGCGGACGAGCTGGCAAGGAGAGGAGCTAGTATGGTGGTAACAGCACGTATTTACCACTACCCTTAGCAATTTCGAACTTCGATTCGCCAAAGATCTTCTAAGATACAAAACCAAACATTGAAACAAACGACTAATTGCATAATCAAAAGTGGCAATTCTAATAGCAAACCTACGTTTAACAAAACGCCTACTGAAATTAAACAGGCAAAACTTTAATATAATGATAGGGATTATAACGGGCCACTGTCCCTTAAACAAACACTTGAAAATCCACCGAAATACAAAACCACAGATGGAAACAAACAACTGATTGTTAACAATCAAAAGTGACAATTCCAGTAGCAAACCAACGATTAACAAAACGCCTACTGGACTTAAACAGGCAAAACTTTAATATAATGATATGGACAATAACGAGCCAATATCCTTTAAACCTTTGGAAATCCACGAAAGTACAAAACCAAACATGGTGACAATCCACTAATTGTAAATAATAAAAAGTAGTATATATATAGCAAACCACCGATTAACAAAACGCCTACTGGACTTAAACAGGCAAAAGTTTAACATAATGATAGGGACAATAACGGGCCGCTGTCCTTTGAAAATCCACCGAAGTACAAAACCAAAGATGGAGACAATCCACTGATTGTAAACAATCAAAAATGGCAATTCCAGTAGCATACCAACGAT